TGTTCCACGCAGAGCTCCCGGGCTCCCCCAGTCACGTGTCCATCCTGGTGACGAGCACATCATCTCTGTTTGTGACGATCAAAGAGCCCGAGGGGGACACGGTGGGGCTCATCACCCGCTACAGAGGTAGGGAGAGAACCAGGCAAGAAGACTTTCATGGAGGATTGGTTGGTTGAATGGATGGGTAGATAAAAGGGTCAGTTAGATGTGGGGCAGAAAATGGATCGATTCATGATGGATAGATAAGGAAATTAATGGAGTATAGACTTTACTGGTGCAATTTAATCAAAGTCTTGAAAGTAATTTAAGCCGGCTGACACAGTATCTAGTTTAGGCTGTTTTTGCTGCTCGGTTTTATAGACGTATAAATGTCATGCTTCGCGGCCAAGAATAGATTAAGCCCAGATGCAGCAAGTCCCTAAACCTGTAAACACTCGCATCCTTAAGTTATCCCTCACGAGGGGTTTTGAGCAAAGCCAGAGAATAATCTGTCTGTGGGATTGTTTTGCATTCACAGTCGAATGGAGCACCTCGGCCAGCTTCAAACGCATCCTCGGCACGGCCCAAGTTACAGAGACCAAGAACCCCTCCTACGTTATCAAGGCGCTGACGGCAGTAAGTCGCCCACAGTCACACGTATTCACAACCACAGATAACAGCTGCAAATGCACAGATGCTGCAGATACGCATTGAAACTGACACCTGTAATTTCTCTGAGGCACATAATCAAGCAGACACGTGCTGCAGCTCTGCACCCACACACGCTGCGTTTATTGCTCCTCCATCACTATCTTCTGCACTGAACCACCTCTCATAAGAGTACACTTATCAGCAGGCTCACTTTAACCAGATGAATTAATAATGAGAGCGCCGTATGGCTTCTTGGTTAATGCTCGGTGATAATTTGGCAGGTCTGCTGTTTCTCCAAACACAGGGAGTGCATTACTTCGTGAGAGTGAGCGCCTACAACGTGAAAGGATGGGGCCCGCCTCAGTGCTCCACTCCAGCCAGCGCTGCCCCCTCCAGTGAGTGTGCAGAACTACACAACTTTGATGAATGTGGATTTTGAAGCTGCGAAAGAGCTCCATTCTTTCCCTCTTTGTCCCAGTGTAATAGAATTACTGACATTAAGCTCGATGTGAAAGAAGTCCAATCCTCTCGTGGCTTGTAGATTAATGAGTTATTAAAACGTGGAAACTTAAAGACGGCAACACGAGTCAATGGGCCCTGCAGCCGTGCCGCTTTGACTTTGAATATTTGGCTCGTAATCTTTCTTGGACGCCACCCACCCCTATCGCTGGGCTTACTTGCTGTTACTTTCTACTTCTAACAAAAGCCAGAGCTGCCAAACAAGGATTTGTAATGGGGAATAAAGGCTGAAAATATTAATGTCAAAGCAAACACTGGTCAGTAAACAATCACAGCCAGAGTGTAATAGATTGCCCAATTTATCGTAAAGGAGATTTGTTGTGCTTTTCCTTATTTTCTGTCACATATGCTGTTACAGTAGACAGTATATCATATCAATCATGACAAAAGCCTCAAATAATGAGGTCAGTGTGTGTTAAGAAATCCCTCTGAACCAAAAACTCAGGCAGTTTCTTTCTATACATTACTATATAATGTCAACATGCACACACAGGTGGGTGCAGAATCCCCATCCGCCTGCTGTTAATACCTTGAGATTGAGGGGCTTCACTAAGACCCAGTATAAGATCAGTAGGAATTATTCTGTCAACCTTGAGATGGAAGTGAGCAGAAATTAAATAAATAAAGATTCACTTTAAAAACACACACACGCAAAAGATCCCCAGCTTAAATAGATACATGATTAGAGCGAGTCACAATGAATCAACTTCAATTTCAACTTTCACAGCATACAGACGGTCTCTCATGGAGACGCTGTCGCTTCCTAATCACCAAAAGATTAAAAAAAAAAGCGGTACTCAGGAGTCGCTTGCAAATTATTTCTTGCTGTCTTAGCTGATTTTCCTAATTGCATAGAAGTGAAAGCCACAATCTGCTTCTCTCTGCCTGTCCTGTGCAGGTTGGAGAGAGTGCGCTGGTGTAAAGTCACAGCTCAGAAATCACGAGGCCCTCGTGAGGAAGCTGCTGGAAGATGCCAAGGAGTCGCATCTTAGAGGATATTGCATAGGTAACGTGAGACCTCTGGTGATTTTATGCTTTGGTGCATTGGGTCCAAGTGCACATGTTGTTGTCGTTGTGTGTGTAATTATACTTGC